TTTTTTTTTTTTTTTTTTTTTTTTTTTTTTTTTTTGTAAGGATTTCCGCTCTCTGGAGTGTTTGAATTTATTCGAGTGGTTTGTGGAATGTATTGAATCTTTTTGTTCTTGAGTTTGTAGATTTCTGAAATTTCTCCATGGTGTTTGTTATTACTTCGTGCCTCAACTGTGAAGATTTGGAAGTTGAACCTCCTATTTGCTGTATGATCCATGTGAAAAACTGTAGTTTCATATAATTTGATTGGTCGGTTCTCTTCTGTTTCTTCACTGCAATTGGTCGGTTCTCTTCAAGTTTGCCTCCTTTTAGAGATTACGCTTCTTCAAGTTCATACTTCGATTGTTGTGTTTTCATCAATCAGTTGGATAGTTCATGTTCTTTCCTGATGATTTGTCATGAGGTTCTGTTCTTCATTACATGGTAATGAAAGGTTCGTTTGTTTATTAACTTGTTTTCAGGTCTGATCTGAAGAAAGATTTGCTTGCATCCTCTTAATTGTTGCGTTTTTTTCGACCTGTACTGACCAAATCTGAGAAGTTCAGTTCAACCACGATGGGCCTCTCCAGTCTCCCAGCTCCATCTGAAGGAGTCTTTAATGTTCTTCTTGTAAACACTGCACTATCATTTTCCATGTTCAAATGCTTTGTTCGTTTGATCCTTCAAGTCGTAGGAATCCTTCTCTCACCACCATCCTTGACTCCACCATCAGATTCCTTGGAAAATTCCTCAGAGTTGGGGGATTCCAATTTTGGTTCTTCTTGGAGTTACATCGAGACGTTTCAGAACCGATATCCAACGATTAAGTTTGCTAAAGTACAGGGCTCCGAACGTCATGAACATGATTGCCCTGTTTGCTTAACTTGGTTCGAACCTGAGTCGGAGATAAACCGCTTATCTTGTGGCCATCTTTTTCACACACTGTGCTTGAAAAAGTGGCTGGACTACTTGAACATTACATGTCCTCTTTGCAGAACTCCTCTTATGTCCGAAGAAGAGAAATTGTGCTTTTGGTGAGTGTTCAGTGTGCTAGAATTTAGTTAGGAAAAACTCATGTACAGCATACTCTTAAAGATAATCATGAACGCGTTTTATACCTTCTTTGTGCATGAAATTTTAAGTTTGATGTCACTGTATATACATGTTTATGAAGTTTTATGCTTTTGGCTTGTGCCTTTAGCTTTGAGTTAAGGCACCGTTACTTCACTTTCGAGGAAGTATCTCGACTCGAAGAGGAGAGAGAGTAAGTAACTCGAGATCGTTCCGAGGGGACTGGCTAGATCAGGACTAGGAGAGATGACCCCTGAGGAAGTATCTCGACTCGAAGAGGAGAGAGAGTAAGTAACTCGAGATCGTTCCGAGGGGACTGGCTAGATCAGGACTAGGAGAGATGACCCCTGTACGAGAAGACATTGAATCCATACACTTCATCTATTTTTGTACATAAAATTTTCCGAGTATGCAACAAGTTTTTCAAGTTCTATTTGTTTGATATTGGCATTAACAGCATGTACAGGAATTTCTTAGAATTACAGTTTTAAGTTATAGTGGGAATTGTTCAAATCTTGGTGGGCAACTCTAATATCTTACATGTTTTTTTTGGTGTCAAATACAGTTCGTCGACGGAGCACGATATTCCTCGAGTATTAAGATCTTAAACCGAAAAGTTTTTGCTGGCCTTCTTCGATGAACCTGCTAAAATCAAAGTGAAAGCTTCCTCCACCATATGTACGTTGATACTACCTTCTCTTCCCATACGTACGGTGGGCTTGGGTTGTTACAAAAGGTTTCATATCAAATTTAGTTTTAGTTCTAGCTAGTCCGTGTCTTATTTGCTTAAGTAGTCCGTGTCGTAGATGATATTCTGATTGCAATGTAACATGTATTATAGTTGAGGATTCTTTCTTAAAATGATATCTTGGTGCTTATGGGTTCTCGTCTTCTTGAAGCTTCAAAATTTTCTTCTTATACAGAAATCCTACTGCAGAAAAATGAACTTACCCTTGCATATGTATGCAAGGGAAGAGTGTGGCAGGATTGTTCCATCATTATTTGTGGGGTCTTTGACTCGAGAGGAGCAATATAATATTTCGAGAGGTTGTGAGGTGTCTTGTAATAGCCCAAGCCCACCGCTAGCACATATTGTCCGTTTTGACCTGTTATGTATCACCGTCAAACTCACGGTTTTAACTACTAGGGAGAGGTTTCCACACCCTTGTAAGAAATGCTTCGTTCTCCTCTCCAACCGATGTTCCCCTCACGGTTTTAACTACTAGGGAGAGGTTTCCATACCCTTATAAGGAATGCTTCATTCCCCTCTCCAACCGATGTGGAATCTCACACTATTCGTGGATCATACTTTTTTGTAATCATGTGGAATCTCACACTATTCGGGTAATCATCAACTGACTGTGACTTGTTCTTTTGGATTGAAGTTCTTTCTTGTAAGAAGTTGAGCACTTCCTTTTTGTGGGCTTATTTTCGTATAACCTCGTATATTGTTTCATTTTTTTCTATGAACGCTCGGTTTTATATAACAAAACATGCGACTTAAAAGTAGACTTATTGTTCTCCTTTCATGTCACTACTTTCCTATTGATTAGAATTACTGATGGAACCTCAATTGCTTCTGAAGGAGTATGCAAAGTAGTGTGGAGTATTGAAGCTGATTTAGAAGCTGCTCAGCTTCTTTACCTTACTGCTGGGGATCCTGTCGCCCTTAGGCTTCTGGGAACCAAATATGGCTATGCAAATGTCTCCTATGGAACATGCTAACTTATGGATGGCTGAGGATGACACAAGCCGCAGAGTGTGTTGTAGGTTGTGAGTTTTTTTTTTTTTTTCTCTTGGATTCAATTTAAGATCATGTATATGCTTCGTTTCGTGTCACGATCATGCTTGTCCAAGGCATGTCGCTCATGGCCGCATGCCCGTGACACGCCAAAACCTTTGCCTTGTACTACTTTTCCTCGCTTTCTAAAATCTTTTTTTGAAATCGAGACCCGAGGTTTGTATTCACGTCGCCTGACTGCAGGCAACGTAATTCAAAGTAGGCTTAATCCACTCAATGCTGAAAGTACGTGTCGAATAATCGTCGAATCCGCTGCCTAGAAACCGCGACTGTGACACTTCTCTTCTTGGCTGCTCTGTAAACTGATGTAGCTTCTGACGTAGCTTCTTGATGCAATTTTACTTGCTATTTGATACCAATAATTGAGATGATTGATCTAAATTCTGAAGTCACAATACTTTTCTTCTAAAGGTGCAGTACTCACCCCTATCCCTAAATGGGCTTATGTAAACGAGCATTAGAGCAAGCGAGGGAAGCCTTCAGTTTAGGGGCTTCCCCTTATCCTTCACACTACCCTTTCATTTCTGTTTAATCTTCCCCAATGTAGGAGATTAATTGATTGAATACCCGAGAACCATAATCTTTCCTAGGAACCGCTTCTTCGACGATAGAGATAGATAACGGGAGGTCAAGTTTGTTTGGCATCCATTCAGCTATCTTATTATCTGCTAAACTTCAGCTCAAAATTTGGCCTCTCACCCATCCTCACTGAATCTCACTTTGGCTTCTTTATTCTCCTTTCAATCTTCATTGCTCGCTACCGTCTGCCCCGGTAACCTATTTGTGGGAGGACGGGGACGGGGACGGGGACGAGAACAGATAAAGATTCATTAAGAGACAAAAAGCCTGCCCTTCAAACCCCACAGGGTAGCTCCCTTCCTCAAAAAGGAGCTACAAATGAAATAGGTCCGGCAGAAACATTTGTGCCAGTACAGAAAGCACGCAGAAAATCACCTGAAAGCTTAAATGTATGATAATTAGCAAGAATGGGACACCCCAGAGATACCCTTTGAAGTAAAGTAGAAGAAGATAAAGTAAAAGTAAAGAAGAACATAAATGAGTCAACCAAAACAATTCACATTTTCTGGATCATATCAATACAACTCTTCCTTTCTCTATCAAATAACTTTACAGGTAAGGTAGCTGCAAAACACTTCACCAGCCTATATCTTACCTTTCAAAAGCCCTTATAACATCTCCAAATTAAAGAACAAAGAATGCAACAACATTTCTCAACACTTTTGACTGCAAATTCTCTCAAGTTCGAAGAATTCAACAATGGAAACGCTCGAAAAGCTTATCAAATGAAGAATCGAGAGAGAGAGAGAGAGAGAGAGAGATATTTCATATAGCACCAGCTGCAAGAAATAAGAACAACTGCACATGCCTACTTGAACTAACTTAAAATGGTAAATATCTGTTATAGGTGGTCTGCACCTTTCATGTAGTAGTAGTACTCACTTCAAGCAAACAGTAGCAATCGGTCTTTTTCCGCTCCTCTAAAACATTCTCCGGTCAATAGCAACTCTTCCCTCGATATTTCGTTCTCGATCCATAATTGCTGGGAGCTCTCCCAAAAATCCCAATATTAATATGTTTTTGAGCTTCTGATTTGTTGTTACCTAATAGTTACTCGGCCAATTGATCTGCGAGTGTTGAGGTTGTTGGTAAATGTTACCTCCTGGTCCTACCGTGTCGACTCCTCCAGCCACGGCTTGCGACTGTTGCAGAAGTGGGTGAACTCCTGCTCCAGTTACTGCTTGTGCTTGATGATAGATACTAGCAAATGTACCGTGCCCAGTCTGTGTTGGCGTAAATGTCACGTGTTGACCTGGTGGTGGAAGGTTGTAGAACGAATTCGCGGGCAAGCTCGACATGTCTCTTCCTGGTGCACCGATCCATACTGCCGAGCCATCGCTCTAAACAGGAAGAGGAAAACGATCGAGTTATTGTTTAAGCACTTCTGTCATCAAACTTCAAGATATTGTAGAGAATGCTAATAAGGACCACCTCGCTTTTTTCAATCATGAAAATTTTGAAAAGATGATTTAATGAAGTCGCCACAATGTGTTTGTCTCGTCTTACAAACCGTTCGAAGTACTTTTACAACAACGGTGTAAAATTGCTCGCCCACATTGTAGCGACCTCCTCGAACAATTTCCCGACACTCACAATCACCATTTAGCATAAAACAACACAACATATTAATTTGAAGAGAATAAGAATCAAAGGGCAACACCAACCTGTGGTCCTGTGATGTAAACACTATTTTCCTTGAACTGCGATGCACCAAGGTCGTCGTTAGCGACGGTGTTTCCAGCTGGTGCAGCAGTGCTAGGGCTATAACCAGGTGCCGAAGAGCCATAAGGACCGTAACCACTAGGCACGCCAATGTGGGACGGGTTACCTGAATTGGCTCCCATCTTGTATTGTGGAATTGAATATTTGACTGCAGCAGCTGCTGCTGCTGGCGGAGCTGGAAAGATGTTGCCTCCTTGAGGTTGCTGAGGAAATGCATTATTGCCAACAAATTGATGGATGGGAGGAGGTGGAACATAGAACGGCGAGAAATAGTGACCGTACGGTAGGTAGTTCGGGGGATAATGAGAAATATGGACTCCTGCTGGAGGTCGAAAGACGGGCATGGGTTGCTGAGTCATAGCTATAGAGCTTTGCATAAGTCCAGCTGCTTGCGTTAACAGTGCCGTTGGACCCGCTGTCGACAGAACCACGCCCTACACGCAAAGAAACAATAGCATAAAAAAATCGAAAGAGGAACAACTAGTATATAAAGAGGATTCTATTCCCAACTTGACCCGTCGAGTATTGGGAAGCAAGCTAGTCCCTGAAAATGCCTGTTCCTTTGTCCTCGACTCTTTTGGTTACTCTCATCTTTCGTTTTTGTACTCTATTCGTTCCTTGAAGGTCCAATTAATCAATAGTAAAGTAATGTTCGGACGGTTAGTGTCTGTTCTGCATGGGCCTCGAACGATGGATTTCTACGCTTTTCGAGAAAAAACTCTATACAGGGGAGAATAGAACAAGTGGAAAGAACACACAACATCTAAAGGATATCGGGATAGGGATCCTATTCCTAGAAGAGTCCTCAAAACAGGAGACGATTGATTGAAAACGACGCACGTCATGAAATTTAGGCATATAATTATAAAAAATCTCGAGTTCGGCAGGTTTAAACAAAAATTGTTGCAGAAATCCAAAATAAATAGCAGAAGATGAGACAAGCAAACAAAAAAGAACAGCTCTTAATGAAAACAAAGTCCCAAGTATGTACCTCTTGAGGAGATTGAGAGCTCGAAGGAGGCAACATCGCAACATTGCCATTGTACTTAGCAGCAACTCCGGGAGAAAGAAAGGGGGAAAGTCGACCATCGTTCTCACCCGATCGGTAAAATTGGGCATAGTAACTTGATGGGTCAAAATGCTGTTGAACCTACAAGAAAAGCAGCCGATAGAAAATTCATATAACGTGATACGAAAGCCAACCATACAAATCGTAAAGATTGGTTTATAATAAAGCACTAAGTTCGGTGCTTACGACAAAGCTGGGAAGACGAGAAGAATCGCAGCCCTGAGAATCAGAGTTTTCAACCGCTGCAATCTGACTTCCAACTACGGGGGAGATAAAACCAATACCGTAACTCGAAGATGTTTGTGCAACAGAGTTCGTATGGCCTCCAGAAGGTAATCCTGTTTCCTGCTTTAAATCATTGAACTCGTGAATTGTGTTCGATGAAAGATCGGCGCCAGTGGGTGATAAATTTTCAGCCATTTGACTAGGAGATCGTGGACGATCAGGAGATTCCACATCTTCGGTACTTCTCAGTGCATTAGGATAGCTGAAACGAGATCATGTAAATTTTGTAAAGAAAAGATAGTCACACCACATCGTTCGTGTGCATAAAAACCGACACCCCAAAAGAAATGTTTCCGCAGCATGCTATGTTCACCCAAAAAATACATACGGTATTACTAGCAAATGCATCGAAAAACCGTCTTAAACCAGATCAAAAATAGCTTTCTTCCGTCCATAAATAATTCTTAAACACAAAAATAGTTCGATATGAAAAGTTCAAGTACCGAACCAAGACAATGAGAACATCGAGAAGCAGCAAATGAACTTATTCTCGAGATACTATCACAGTTAAACGCAAATTAAGAGCTGCAATCGCCTACCTTGAAGCTTCTTCCTCTGCATTTTCATCGGCATCGACTGAAGCTTCAGACATGGGTGTATGCCTCTGGTCATCCTCGGGACCGCTTGGATCAGTGACAGAAACTCCAAAACCAATGCCAAAACTTCCAAAGCTTAGCTTCGATCGTTCGGATTCAGGAACCTGAATGTGGTTCGGAAGAATAACAAGCTGACTTTTCGATACATGCAAGTCTTCCAATTTCTTCTGCAGTTTTAAAGTAGCTTCTACCGAATCAAGGACCCTCGAAGCAGGCTCTAAATGATCGGTGTCATTAAGGGTAACGGCAGGAACCTCAGAAGCTGCAGCAGCTGCACCAACAGTTCTCGATTGCTGAATAACAGCTGAACTAGTAGTCTTTGGCTTCCATTCCTTATTAGAACTAGCTGTCGTGGATAGAAAGCACACGAAGTCACAATTACGTAAACGTTAATTTTTTTTTCCTTTTTTACAAAAATTAAAAAAATACACGAATGTATTCGTAGGTTAACAAATCGGTGATACGAGGAACAAAGCCATCAGAACTTCAAGAGAAAAAAAAAGGTGAGCTAACCTAGGCCTTGAAACATAACTAGTTTCGTACCTTTATGAGAGCCAATTACTTGTTGTGGTCGTTTATTATAATTAGAAGGCAAACTAACGGTCGAGCTGCCCTGCATTGACACGGAAGGTGGTGAAACCTCATTGAGCTGACTCTCCTCAATTTTCGGAGATTTGATTGGTTGATTTCCCCGAGCCAAAGATTTGCCGATCTCCGAAGCCTCTACATTTCAGCCAACAGCAAATAAACAAAATATTTTAATCATAAGTTAAGATACCGACAGTAATAGAAGAAAAAAAACCAAAAGTCGTGTGCTGACCAAGAACTAGTTTGTTTTCCACAGGATTAACTGTGGTAGGCTCATCTCGATGCAATGTGTTCCCCCCACATGTAATTGTATCCACAGAACCCGGTAGCTGCGACTCAACAAATGGATCTGAAGACGAGTTCAATGCGACGCTGTTATCGGAATTTGGTATGGGCGGCTCACTTGAGGGTCGCATGCCAAGCACACGGTTTGGGTTCTTGTTTGCGTTTATAGGAGGCAATGCACTCCCCTTACCACTAATCTCAGCCAAAGATGAAGTTACTTCAGCAACACTTCCAGAAGCTACACTTGTGGCACCATTTCCGACAGATAGAGAGCTGCAAAAGACACCTTTATCATCTACTTATTCAAAACGTTCGTCCTCAACGTTACACTTAGAATTGCAATTCAGGACAATCAACTTATAACCTTTGAGAATCGAAACCGAAAACATAATCACCTCGTTACTGGTATTTTTTCTTTACTTTTTGTCTCATGAGAAGCCTGCACGGATAAAGAACCACCCTTCTCAATTGCTTGATTTACTCCATTCTCCTTTCCAGGTCCAAGGTTTCGGCCACCGCCAGTATCTGATCACAAGTAGGATTGTAGGAATAATATTAACTAAGATAACCAGATCGAACGTCAATCAGTGAGGGAAAAAACCGAAAGAACTATGCAGAATTCATAAGAACAAAGTACGAAAGAACTTCTTTAATTGAACAGGTTAACGTGGTGTCTTACATACATAGTTAACGCAAGTAAACAAAAGAAATGATGGGTTGTTTATGATATCGACATGTAGAATGCAGCAGAAGCAAATATCTTTCACAGCAGCTTACCATGAGAAATATAACGAGGAGAAGAATTTATACGAACACCTCTACCACCCCTTCCCTGCATGCCCGTTTTCCACCTGGACTCTACAGACTCTCGATTGTTTGCGTTCTACAACAACAGTTTTTTGAGTTCGGTGGGTGGGACGTAGAGAATTAGTTCATCGATTTAGGTTAGAAAGTTTATCAAACAAAAAAAGGCACATAAGACGGTCTCAAACAATATGTGTTCAAATATGAATAATTATACAATTCCAAGGCTCCCAGACTCGAGATGACATGTACTAAACAGAATGTGGGTACCAGGAGTCATCGACTTGCTGTAAAAGATGTTACCTCTTTTCTCCTCTCACGTTTGCTCTTCACTTCATGAAAAGTATCTGAAGAACAACGTCAACACTGTTAAAATCGGTTTCCGTAAGACACCAAATGCAAAAAACAATGTAGAAGAGATCAAGACTATTTTTTAAACACGTAAGATCCTCCAAGAGACCCGAAAATGGGTTTGAATTAATGGTTTAGGTTAAGTATCATGATAAATAAAAACTAAAGAGAAAGCTCGAGCCAGAGAACAAAATGCAGCGTCTCTAAAACAAATTATATAGCAATTTACATCAACCTTCAAACTCAGCAACTTGGAAACAACGATCTCGGTTCAAGAAATACATTAGGACTAACAAAATATGATAGCCATGAATACTAATAACATGATCGAGATCTAGAGAAACATCAGTACTCAACAACAAACGAAGATAAACGGTCGAATCATTTTTCCTTAGTGGCAAACTTAGAACATGCTCAAGTAGAGAATATGAACTAAATAAAACAATATTTTTCGACAAAAACGAGCATTCTCCAACTGGTTATAGAATCTCTGTTTCCAATTCACTTAAACTATAATTTACGATTTGTCGGTTCGAAACGTACCATAGAAACGACGAAATGCCACTATAATTTATGGATATTGCAAAAAAAAAAACACAAGAAATCATTCGTTGATGAAAAAAATATAACTTTACTACGACAAGTACGCCAATGCTGCTTTATCACGACAAGCTTTACCAATCCAAAAACACCCAGCAACCAGTAAATGGGAGAGTAAAGAACAGACCCATTACGACCCAGATATGGAACAAAAACAAGACTCCCAATCCATTATCATAAACAGCCCAGAGCTCCTAGAACTGATTGTAAAGTAGTAAACACACAAATCCCACAAAAAAGAAGCTAAAAATGGTTGTAAAGTAGCTCCACTTTGGTGAGAATAGAAGGGATCAGAACAAAGAGTAAAGGAGTTAATCTAATTGAAGTTCATCCATGAAATTAGCAACAAAAAAGTCAGCTAAAAAAACACGACAGTAGATGAATGTCAGCTGGAATTCAAACTAGAACACAAGACATGAGCTGAAATCCAAGAACCCCAGAAAGCAAGAGTGGATAAACTTGAAACAGAACGAGGTTGGATCACAAGGATTGAAAGAGCAAAGCAATAAAAACCCAGAACAGCAAAACAGTAATAGAAGCAAGAAAAGAAAGAAAACAAAGTACCCTGAAGAAGAAGCTTCTGAGTAGTCTCATTGGGATCCATGGAACATTCTTTAAGCATTGCATAAATCTCATCATTACTGTGATTGCCCGTGATCTCCTTAATATTCTCGATCGTTGTCCTCACACTGTTGGGGATTGAAGCCCAAGAGTCGTCGCCACTCATCCTTCACGACCAAGAAACCCCAAAAAACAGGAAGAAAAAGAGAAAATCTCGACAGAAAGAGAGAGTAATCGGTCTGCCTGCCTGCCTGTCTGTCTGCCTTGCCTGCCTGCCTGTGAGGTGAAAAGGGGCGGAGGGGAGGGCGGAGAGGTGAAGGAAAAACAAAGGGGAAAACCAGAAAACAGAGACGGAGAAACAGATTGAAGGGTATTGGGGGAAAACTAGCTGAGGGAGAGAGAAAAGGGGAGAGGGGTTTGTAAAAATTGATCTATTTGGATGTGGAGAAGACGAAGAAGAAGAAAGGGGGAAAGAAATGAAAGGGAAGAGGAGAGAGAGAGAGAGAGCACTAGAGAGAGAGAGAGAGAGAGAGAGCAGTGTCTTGTAATAGTGTGGGGGCTTTTTCGGGTTTTCACATCTACTTTTTTATTATTATTTTTAATTAAATTGGGCAAGAAAATTACCTGGGATGTTTTTTTGTATGTGCTGTCCGGCTGTATTGGAAATTAAACCTAGGTTTTATTTTATTACTTTTTTATTTTTATTTTTTTTAATTATTAATTATTTTTATTTTCTAATAAATATAAAGGACGATTTTATTTTAGTTAAATTTAAAAATAAATTAGTTAGAATATTATTAAAATTTTCATTACATTTAATTTTTGTCCATTTGTTTTAAATTTCATTATTTGTTTGTGATTGGTGGAATGATGTTGAATTCAAATTGAAGTCTGAAAATTACTATAAAAAAATAAAAAAATAAAAAAACTAGAAATTAATTTTTTTAAACCTGATTTTATAATAATTTGGATGATTAATTTCAACGATAACAAATATAATAATCGTGACGAGCATAAGCTAGCCCGATATTCATGCTAATCGTAACTTTAACTTGGGTTTTTCTTGGATTGTATGCATCACACGTTTCGGTCCTTACTTCGGGTGGACCTTTGTTGTCGGCGTAGGGTCGGTCTTTGCCTATCATTTCCGCTTTTCCTCGACCATGGTTCATAAGATTGATTTTGTGCTTGTCTTTTTTAGATTCAATTGTTGCATTATTCTGTCTAGTCGAATAAACACTACTTCTACCTATATATATACATATATATCAACGTTCAATCGATGTATCATAAGGTCATAGTCTATTCCTTACCTATCTTCACGTGATGAGATGAATAGGTAGATGAATCATAGCTCTTCACCAAATTGCGTTTTTTTGTTGACCTCAGGCTCCTCGAATTGGGCGAAGAGCTAGTAGGCCTATCATTTTCACTACTTCCTTGCAAACTTTTCCATTCCGAGCTTTATTGCAGTTAGAACAAGTTGGTTGACCTCAACCAGTATGCAAATAGTCAACTTCAATTTGAGTATAGTGTTTGGTTTGAAATCGTGTCCATTTTGATTCTAATATTGTTTTCTTACTCATATTTCAAACAAGTTTTTTTTTCTTCACATACAAGTCAACTATTGAAGACTCGAGCAGTACAAAATAAAAAAGTCAACTATAAAAAAGTTAATAGAAACTCTCGGTAAATTAAATTACATTTACATAATGTCAAATTCAAATTTTAACCCGTAAAAATACACACAATTTTCAAAATTTTAGCTCAATCATAATTGACATGTACTCATTGCTTTAATTAACGTTCGAGTGGGCTATCTCTCTCTCTCGCACGTGCCATTTCCAAGGATTAACTTTTAAGCATCAATACAGCATCCACGTGCTGATTATTTTTGCATCAGCATTCCCATGGGCACGTGGCGCACGCGTGACTGTGGACGTTATGTAAGCCATGATTCAGATGCAGCATTTTTATAAAAAAGCCATGATTCAGATACCAAAACTACCCTCGACCTTACCCTTCATCAAGCTCCGCGGAGAGGGGCTTTTCTGTAATCTTACAAAATCAAACGACGACGTATCAACCCACCTCCTCCCATAAATTTCCTGTCTCAGAATTCACTAGTCAGAAACCACCGGCACCGACGACCACCGTAGAAGCTTCTTCCGGCGGTTGATTGTTTCATTTCCGAAAGTCGGCGTAGTTCATCTTCCTTTCAGCTTTCTCAACTACGGTAATCATTCAGGCACGCACTTCAATCTCCGTTCGTTTTCACAGTTTCTTATTGCTATAGAAGCACAGAACCGCGATCATCTCTCGTTTATTTCTGCTTCGAGGTTGACTTCTTGTATTATTTCGTTGTTGTTATTTTCGTTCGTCATTTCATATGGATTCAGTGCGATAAACTTGTGGATTGAGTATAGTTTTTGTTTTTGTATAGAGTTGAGAGATCATTTACTCAAAGAACAGAGTAGTATTGTGATAGTAAAGTTCTACGGCTGGATTTCCTGTTGCTTTTATCTTCGAAACTGGTTTCGGTTGATTTAAGTTTTTTTTAGTACAAGCGTGCAACTATAGACTGTGATTGTACTTATAACCTGCTTAGATTGTGCTTGATACTGAAGTTAGCGTATGGATTACGTCCGTGCTCCTTCACCGTTTCTTATGACTTGAGAATGAAGTCAAAATGTTCGGTTTCCTCTGTTTTCTTCTATTAATCACGTAAAGGTTTTCATCTGTTGTGCTTTCTTCATCCTTTGCTTGTTTTTACTCAGATGCTCCGAATTTTCTGTGTTCGTACTCAGTTTGTGAATGAAAATACTAAAATTGAACCACCGAACCACCGCACCGTAGACTTGTTGTTTTTACGAGATTATGAAGTTGTGCTCTTAGAAATTTTTCATTGTTGTGAAGCCTTCTCCTCGGACATGGATTTGGAGGCCTTTTCTTCCGTCTGTGCTATTTTCTTGCCATGATCATACAGATATATTGGATTTGTTCTACAGAAATAGAACCTCTCCATTTTTATTCATAATAGGAAGTTCCTACGACATGGTAGATTGGTGACCTTTGAAAAAAGGGAAAGTAGTCATTTCTCTATTTATTTGATTTTTGACATGCTGTATTAGAGAAACATGGGGTACATGTTAAGACTAATTGGCAAGGAGAAAAGTTACCATGTATCTTATAAGGATTGTGACGTGTCTTCATCTTTTCGATATCGGACCTTTCATATGCCCTTGAAGATGGTGCCTCTTTGAGTTGGGTCCCAATTTTTGGACTGAATGCTCATTGGGCTTCATGGACTCTGATATCATATTAGAAAAATATTAGATTCCATCTTAAAGTCAATTGGCAACGAGAGGAGTAACTCATGTATTTTATAATCACTGCAAGGTCTCTTCATCTTTTTGATCCTTAACATTTAACATTTTGGAATACTATTGTGACATTTTATCATTACTATGCTAAGTTTTTTTAATTAAAAAAAAAAAAGTTTCTTCTTGACGTTACCTGTCCCATTTGTGAATTTACTTTGCTGTGACTTGACAAATTAATATTTCACTAACCATAATTTTATAGGTATACATTCTTGAGGGAGGATTCCATGATGGAAAGTATATGGAAATCAAAAATCTTAGATAACCTATGCTCTGGAGATTACTTAACAATTTGGAGAGACTATGGCACAGTAGGGATTGTGGGAACAATTTTTATTGGCATTCTCATAGCATTCTTACTTCCTAGTATCTTTTTGGTAAAGAAGAGGTGGAAACAAAGAGGAGTTCCAGTGGAAGTTGGTGGGGAGCAAGGTTATGCTGTGCGTAATGCTCGAGTGGCTGAACTTTCTCAAGTTCCTAGGAAAGAGGCCACAACCATGGCAACACTGTTTGAGCAATCATGCCAAAAGCATTCAAAAAATAAATTTCTTGGAACAAGGAAGTTTATTTCCAAGGAATTTGTCACTTCTAGTGATGGTAGGAAGTTTGAGAAGCTTCACTTAGGTGAATACGAATGGCAAACTTATGGAGAAGTGTTTGATCGTGCTTGCAACTTTGCATCTGGGCTTGTTAGGTTTGGCCATGATGTTGATTCTCGTGCTGCCATTTATGCAGAAACTTGTGCTGAGTGGTTGATTGCCTTCCAGGTTATCTTATTACTGTGCTTCAACTTTTTTCTCTAGAACTTTGCACTTGGTTTTAAGCTTTAGAGCTTTACTTTTCTTTCATATTTTTGGACCAATTCACGAATACAGTTGATTACTTACAGGGATGCTTTAGACAGAACATTACTGTGGTTACAATATATGCTTCTCTTGGTGATGAAGCCCTAATCCACTCTCTAAACGAGGTTCGTCAATTAATCATCTCTTCAGCAATTGTAGCGATAATATAGTCTTCTGTGTTATAGTTTCAATTACAATGTGTAAAATGAAAGATCCTTACTCTTCTTCCAACTATTTAACAGACTGAAGCATCTACTCTGATCTGCAATTCAAAGCAGTTGAGGAAGCTGCTGGCAATAGGTTCAAGTTTGACAACTATTCAAAATATTGTTTATTTAGAAGATGCTGGTTATGAAACTGATTTTATTAGCTCTGAAAATATGAGCAATTGGAAGGTCGCCTCCTTCTCTGAGATCATCAAGCTTGGCACAGAAAATCCCGTTGCTCCAAGCTTGCCTTCAAGTCGCAGTATTGCTGTTGTGATGTATACGAGTGGCAGTACAGGTTTGCCAAAGGTAATTTTCCCTTTTAAGTCTGATTATCTTACATTTTTTGGTCAATCTCAGGCAAATTTGTGTCAAGATAAGAATTTTACATAAACTGTAGGTTAGTTCAAGGTTAAAGTATCAGCCACCATGGTGCCCTCAGTAGTCAAAGGGACATGTTAACTTAAATTCCTTTTAAATCATGGTTTCAAGCCTTGGTGATCAATGGTCATTGACTCATCTAGTTAGAATATTGAAAATCCCATGAGTTTCTCAATCTAACATTAAAAGGACAATGTGCTCAATCTTGTGGAATTAGTTTCCGCAAGTTGATGTGTGTAAATTTTGTCTAACTACACATGATCATAACAACATAAGTCAGTTTTATCATGTATTAACTTCTTGACACTCATCGCCACACTTCTCTCTAATCAATGTGTTGCAACATAATGACTTTTCATCTTGAAATGAAATGAAAATGACATCTTTCTCTTACACTGTTAAATTACCACTAATCTTAGAAGTTCAAGTATTTCGATCATGGTAAATTGTTCTTAAGAATAATATTTAAAGGTTTCTGATGTTGGAAACAATTTATTATTAGATGTGGATGCTAGAGTTGATGATATGGTACTTAATTTCGTGTGCTTTCATTTTGATGAACCTTCTATGACAGGAATGCCATATTGACAAGGACTAGTATGCAAGATTTCCTTTTCTTTGTTGCGTTACTATTTCATGATGAATCTTTTAAGCTGAATATTCTATTGATCTATTCTTTTAATCA